ATTTTATCTTAAACTTCCAAAGTAAAACCTTTTTACTTAAAACCACTTTGTGCTGATCAGAGACAGAGCAAATGCTGAGGGCTATAATGGAAGCACTGAAACTCTTCCTGTTTTGCAGATCCAGAGCTGGAGTCTCACCTTATATATGTATGTGACACAAGAAACCAGAACCACTAAGTGGGAGTCTTCAGATCACCGAGCCAGTAGCAATAAGACTTTGTTTGCTCAAGCAAGACTCAATTGCCTTGAGTTGACACTTTAATAGGATTGTTTTCCTAGCTTATGATGGAATCAGTATATTAAGATAAAAAAAATATAAAATCCAGTATGTTTCTTATGGATGTTCATAGCTTTATAAATGTAACACAAATACTGGAACTATCCTGCCTTCTAGATTCAGAAAGTAACTTCTCTGAAGTGACAGCTTAGAAGTTAAAGCATTAAATTACATCAAGGTAAGTGTGTTTTCCAGTTACAAGTGTTAAAGTTTCTTGGAAAAAACAATGTAGTTTCACTCACTGAGGTTGTTAGTAGAAAGGAGCACAAAACCAGGGAGCAGATATCTGGAGTTTGTTACCTGCACTAGATCTTCACAAGAAACTAGATGCTGGCTATTCTAACAGTAGCTTCTAGCAAGTTTTTGGGCTTTGGATTGTTGGGAGTTTTAACCAAAAGATTAAAAATCACAGTTTCTTAAGACAAATTCCAAGACTGCTTACTTTTCCTTAAAAGGAGCCACTTTACCCATTCATAGCAACAGACAGAGCTGTTTTCAAAACCTCTCAGAAAGGTGATTCGCTGACCCGTATTAATAAAAAATAAACACAAGCTCCCGTACTGAGGATTGCGAAGATGCACACTTCGGTTCATACTCCTGCCATTCTCCAGACAAAAGTAAGTCTGATGTGCAGTAAGAAAGCATTACCAAAGGGCTCCCTTGAGCTGCTGAAGAAGAAACTTGTCACACTCCAAAGCTACATTAGAACAAAATGGTCCTGCCTTCCTGGACTATAGGCAAATCCATGCAAGAAGAGATTCATGTGTACTTTTCTACTCCTAACTTCTGACAGTCAGTGAGCAGGTGAAATTGCTCTACACTCAAGAGACCAGAAAGAATGTGGTTTTTTCTTCTTTCTTACCTTTTCATCTCTCACAGTAGTCACACAAAACACCTCTGGCATTTAGCTCATAAAATCTGATTTTAACTGTTCTCAGCATCAGCCAACACTCTTCTAACCTCTGAGAAAAAAACTACCAGGCTTCTCAACAGACTAAACAAACTGTTTCTATAGCATTAATTCAAGATGATAAGAAAAAAAAAAAACAACCAAAAAAAGCTTCTTTCTTTAGATGGGTGCTTCTAGGAATTAAGGTGCATTCTAGTTAAAATAAGGGAGCTATCATCATTTATAAGACACTTCATTCACTGGTATTAGTTTGTGTTTGTCATTAAGCTCATAAGTCACATGTTCTCAAAAGTTAAATGATTTTTAACTATTTGGGATTTTACCTCTTTGATTTTGTTGTCTGCATAACATTTGAAAGGTATCTTTAGTCTACATGCATCAAAGAACATCCTCAGTAGATCCTGTTCCCTATGTTTGTAGGAAGCTATAACTGACTAATACAGTAAAAGCAAAAAAAATGGAACTTAAGAAATAAAGTTAAATAAAGCATGAAATCTCAGAAATTACTCTAAAGATGCAAGAAATATGCCTGTATGTGATCAGGTGTTCAGCACTGAGGCCATCACTCCAAATGACCTTCTGCTTTTGATGGATCCCAAAGTTCCCTAATTATACACTCCTTCTTTGCAATTATTACAGACTCCCTGCTGACCTTCTAACCTCCCTGTGCCATTTGCACCCCTGAACCCAGGGCATGGTCGGAAATGTAACACAACAAAACTGCATACAGCGTGTCAGGAGCCATTAAGCAATGCTCCATGGATACTCTTGTTGTAGGTGCTTTTAACACATGCAGGAAAAGGCTTAATGGAGAGTGAAAAGGCAAAGCAGAGTGGAGTGGGACAACACACTCAACCTGAGAATGCAAAAAAAGAAAAGAAGGAACTTGAGGAGGAATGAAGCTGTGAATGAATGCAGTCAGACCTTGGGGATAAATGCCTACAGGATAAAGGGAACGCAAGTACCTGGTTTCACTTCACATGACTCTGGATAACATATCCAGAGCAATTTTTAAAATTCAATTGTTACACTCCCTGTATCTTTATAACTAAGTACACCTCCCTAGCTTTTACAGAATTGGTCAAATATAAGCAATTCTCTTACATATGCAAAGCTGGAAGATAGTTCAAAGCAGTATCTTAACTTCCATACACTAAGCTCAAATTCAGCAATCCTACAAAGAAAAAGGATTTTACCTAAAATAAATATAATGCAAGGTGACTGAGTCAACCAGGTAACCTAGCCTGGTTTGTACCCTCTTGCTCCCAATAAATAGTATCTTACCTCCATAGCAGTCAGACTTGAAATGTTTGGATGCACTCATGAAGCATGGCACTGTTCATTAAAAGAGTATATTATAACTGAGTAATGTGTTTTTTCAGGTGCATTTGTTGAATGCAAAAACCCATGAAATTTTAAAAGGTTTGAGGATAAAAATATCTTTTTAATAATTTTTGAGGGTAGTCCATCTAGGAATAGGGAATACATTCAGGGAGGACAAGATCTCACAGGACAATTCCACCTGGTCACTAGTTCCCTCTTTCCACATTAATTCTTCTCTTACCTGCAAAAAAGTTTTCTCCTTTGGCAGTCACACAAGACAGAAAACATCTGCTTTGAATCCATGAAAACATTAGCCTGAAAGTTCTGAGACAAGTTGAAGAACACAGTGCAGTTACAGACAACCAGCTGGCTGCGACCACCACACAATCCCTCTCTGGAAAACTATAGGCATATCCCACAGAAATGCAACAGCATCCATGGAAGCTCAAGCATGCTTCCTCTCCTGAAAACCACCACCACTGAGGGGAAAGCAGACGCCACAGTGGCTATGCTACATACCTTCCAAGGCTGTATCTGCCTGCACAGAAAGTGAAATGAGAGGTGACACAAAGTCCTGAGAGCAGCGAGACAGAAAGGTCTTTGCTGGCGGCTCAGACCGGGAACTCTGTGAGCCAGGCATGAAGCTGCAGTGGAATCTGCAGTGACAAGTTCACAAGGCTCATCTAGAAGATGCAAAGGCCTAATTTAAAGGCACTCAGGGATTTCTGACCACACACATACATGATGATACTGTAATATATCAGTAAGGAGGAGGGGGGAGAGAAATAAGAAGTGAGACATTCAGCTTGTCGCAGGCAAGAAGATAGTCCTGTGATGAAGAATTTGAGAACTGATAAATAAGGTATTTGAGACAACTTTTAGTAGCAGTAAGTATAAGTTTTGATAAAAACATGTACATTTTCAATGTACATGGTCTCTTCAAGTAATGCAAAGCAACAACTTACAAGAACAGAATTCAAACAGGTAGCAAAGGTTATGAAAGTAGAAATTCTTAGAATTTCTCATATTTATGCTGTATAAAGTATGCCACTAATCTCAAAGACATGACATTTGAGCATTTATTAAAACATGAAACATGAAAGAAATAAACCAAAACCAACCACATTTGTGATACCTCATCTTCCCCTCTCTTAGTAAACATACTACTCCCTCTCTTAGTAAACAAATTAAGATATTTGGTATAGTTTTGAATTGGGTTTTGGATAATGTAGTCAAGAACAAATGAGTTGTTTCTAAAGCAAGATATATAGATAAAACTTAGGATGAGTACAGAATTACTGTTTTCAAATACTTGTTTCTCCACTAATTTCCAAGGACTATGCAAAGTCCACACACCTCAACCCAAAGACAAGACAGTATATACCCAAATATCCAAGAAGCACAAGAAAGATGTGTGTCTTTCAAATGGCAGTTATTTCTGGTTCTCTCTTCTATCCTGTGTATCACCTTCTTTTAATACACATTAAACAGTCCTAAATACATCCAACCAATTGCATTCTATTTTGTGTAGGCTACTAGAAAGAGCCTAGTAAATGAAGTTGGATTTTTCTTGAGGTCCCAAAAATAAGTCTTGCACCTTCAGTTTCCTGAGTGACTGCAAAAAAATGGAACAACCCCACATTTAATTCACAGTGATATTTACAATGCTGTATTTCTACAGTGTGCCTGTCACACAACTTGTCCTTGGCATTGCAATAAATAGTGATGTGGTAAAGCACAAGGCACCAGTCTTCATGTTTCTAGGCACAAAACTATAAAATTTAGCAACACGGTAGAACTGTTTTCAAAGACAATTGTGTTATACTATTTCTCCATTAGCACTTTGGAAGACATAAATGCTATCAAGGGTTAAGTGCAGAATGTATATCATTACAGTTTTGTTTTGTCTATTCCATTTAATTCTTAAGAAGCGTTTTGCAGACACACTTCCACTGAAGTTGGGAAATTTCCTCTTCCTTTTTAACAGAAATGTGTTTAGAGCACTGCTGCACACTTATTAGGATATAACATACCTTACAGTATTGTTGAAAGCTGAGGAAGAAACTGATCAACACCAGCTCTTCTCTCACCATCTCAACTACCATTACTCCTCACTCACAACCACAATATCTGTTAAGCTACAAATACATAACTAACTAACTGATACCAACTTACAGCATCATGTTATCAAGACAATAGCTTGCTGTGTTTCTAAGGCATGATTTTCCCCTCCATTATAACGCTCTTGGTGTCAGGAGCTACATCAACCAACTACATTAGTGGCCAGCAAGAGATCCTTTGAAAGCGGCATTTGTATATCCCACCAGAGAAGTATCATCATGACTGCACACTGCTGATGCCAAGACATTTCATGACTTGGAATGATGCCCAAGAATTTCCAGCTTAGCTCTCCAGCAAAAGCATCCCATTACATTTCTTTCAGGGAGGAGAATATGAATGGAGATATGAAGCAGTGACCAACATGCTTACCAAACCACCACAGATGCTGAAGACAGCCATGTGCTTCTCCTGGGCATTAACATGCCCGCGATAGAAACAGTGGCGCAAATCAGGGGAGGACTGCTTCTGCGGTGCCCCGACGTGCACCACCGTGTACTGAGCAGCAACGAAGCCTGCGTCAGCACTCAGGTTGAGCTGGAAGACCTGCCCGTATGCTCTGATCTGGTAATGAGTTCGGAAAGCAGCGGGCTCCACCGGTGCCTCCAAGCTCCTTTTCCTTCTTCTGAAGTGATGCGTGTGCGGGAAAAGTTCTCCAAACTCATTCACTCGGACAGGTGTGATGATTTCGTAAGAGGAGAGCTGCTTCACCAAGGTCTCTGCAACAGAAGGCAGGAGGCTCAGCCTGTCGCCGCAGCACAGCAGCAACTTCTCGCCGGCATCCGCACGGCTCCTGGCACGGCGCTCGCGGCGCCAGCCCGGGTCCGGTGACAGCCGGGGGCGGGGGGCCGCCGCCAGCACGCCCGAGGGACCCCGCGGCGGCGGCCGGCCGGCCCCGCCACCCGCCGGGGAGCGGCGGCTGCCCCGGAGGGCACGGCGCCCGCCGCAGGGCCAGGACCCCGGGCCGGTCGCCGCCTTGCTGCCGCTCGCTTACCTTGTCTGGGGTGGAAGCGGACTGCCCAGGACGCGGCGACGAGCAGGGAGAGGGGGCACAGCAGAGCCGCCAGCCGCCTCGCCCCCCGCATGGCTCGCTGCGCGGCGGCCGTGCCCGCAGCGCCCCGGGCCGCCGCCGCCTCAGCGCCCGCCGGCCGCCCGGGCCGGCCCCGCGCCGCGCCGCGGCCCCATGCGCCCCGCGCTCCTCCTCGTGTGCCGCCGCCGCCGCGCCCCGCACACGCCCGCGGGAAGCGGCCCCGCGCCCGCGCTCCCTCTCCTCCAGCCCCTCGCCTCCGCTCCCCCAGCTCGCTCCCCGCCGCGGGGGTGGGCGAGGGCGGCCCTTCCCTTCCCGTCCCTGCCTCCGCCTCCCGGGCCGCTGCCCCGCGGCCGGCGGGGCGGCGCGGAGATGCCCGCTGCCCCCAGGCGGGGCCATCCCGCACCTCACAGCGGGCGCGGGCCCGGCCCGCCCCCGGGGCACGGCCGCCCAAAGACGGAGGGCAGCCCCGCTCCGCGACGTGGGCAGGGGCGGCCCGGGGGTCCCGGCCCCGTCGCGCCGCCCCCCGCCCCGGCAGCGGGCGGCGTTACCGCACGAGAGGTGTCGCTCCAGCCAAAAGATGGGCTTCCGAGAAGCCTGGCAACGCCGCATCCCCCGGGGAACGGCGGAGGCCGTGCCGTGAAATCCAGCGGCGTGTGTCCCACAGATTCAGTATCGCCCAGCCGCAGCCCCCCGATCACCTGCCCTGCACCGCAGCTCTGGGGGAAGCCGTTTCCCCAGACTGCTTCGAAGGAAGGGGATGTGCAGGCAGAGCCTGACACCACAGTGTCGACCGACAGGAATTGTTCTAGCTCCAGGTCCCCTGCTTAGGGTGTTCTGTCTGGGTACACTCTTCCTAAAGCTGCCTGTCCCTGCCGTTAGGGAGTCCGGCAACCCTTGCATGGAGTGTGTGGATTACCTGTTTTACTTTAATATTTTTTTCCTGAAATGAGGGAATGGGCTAATCAGGCTTCGGGTGAAGCTGTGTAGTACTGAAACAGCCTTCACTGCTAGAGTAAAATCATACATCCCTTGTCAAGAGTACAGGATTGTAGAAGGAATACCTGGGTTGTTCCAATGTATATTGGTATCCAGCATAATCTTGAGAATATTGAGTCTTGTTGGGAATACCATATTTCTTCTTGAATACTCAGAAGACAGAAGCTCTCAGATGGATATGAAACTGTTTTCTCTATGTGAGGTCACTGATAAGCGCACTTATATGAAAAGAAAAAAAAATTCGCATCTGAAGAGTTCTGCAAAGTGAACGCAAACAAAAAGATTATGTCTCCAAATACCATGAATATCAAAGAAATCCAACAAGAAGGAAGAATTTCAAACTATTTCTTTTAAACTACATACACCAGAGAAGACTGATCATGATATGTAAACAGAACTCCAGTTCTGAGATTTGGGTATGAGAAAGGAGGTGGGAGGACAGAGGTCCATTCTGCCCACCACAGAAGCATGAAGATACAACATTCATTTCAGTACCCTGAGATGTCCTTTTGCAGAACACACATGGGCAAAGTAGAGTAGAGGAAAAGTAAAGCGAAGTTTAAGGATGCGTGCTTTCATTTTCTTGGCACAAAATGTACAAACAATCATAAGACATTAAATTGAGAGGAGCAATTGTTGTACATGCTTCTCCAGCAAATTAGAATTTTCCCATTTCTTTTCCTGTTCTGCTTCTTACTCATTGAAGCAGTTATCAGAGTGCAGCAAGTTATCTCCTTCCCAGTCAAAATAAATGGTTGTCAGTGATGGAAGCAAATACCTCCTGTTTCAGACATGATGTTTCACTTGTTAATGATTTTAAAAATTACTTTTTATAAAAATAAACGGAAGCACTATGCACCACGAAAGTCAAAGGTTCAGTGATCCCAATTAAGGCGCAAAGCTCTGTTGTAGACCACTTCAAAGCAAATATAAGAAGACTCAACTTTTTTAACAATATATGTATTTTTATTGTTTTAGGAAATACATTTGCTTCAAATGCAAATATTTTAAAAGCAATAAAATTACTTCTCCTAGATCTCATTTATATATGCTTAAATTTCCCTGTATTCTATGTGAGAATGGAATCCCAGCTCTTCTATGGTAGACATTGAAGGACTATCTCTCCCTGAAAATTGATTGTTTAGAACAATTTAAAATTGACAGCCTTCATTTAGATTGACACATGTTCCAGTAGCTCCTGTCATGGCTATGGATAAAACCAGTGCCAGCAAAGTCACTTTTTTTTTCCAAATTTTCAACTGAAACAAAAATTAAATTTCCAAACATGAATCCAGCGATTCAGGCAATGTGAGGCCTCACAGCTGAACACTTTTTTATACTTAGCAGCCATTATTCCTTAAAACTACTGAAGCCCTACAGGTATTAGACACAAGTCTGATTTTCAAATGTAGGATGGGATAGCTGTGCAGGAGCAAAGGACAATAGGGCAGGGGATTAAGGCAGTTCTAGCATGTTCATGTTACCTGAATGGCTTTGGGCAATAAGCTGCAGTCATTCATTTGACCTCCACCCATATGGCATCACTTTGAATCTTGTGAGGAGCAAATATAACCCTGTATATCAAAGCAAGAGGTACGTTTCTCTTACAAAGAAATATAAGTACATCAGAAAATTCAGAAATCATGGAAATAGTATGTTTGCTACAGCTGTTAGAGGTAGAAAGGTAGAGACAGGCATAAGGATGAAATGAAGATGAAGTATTATGGAAGTTATTCAAAGAAGAAGAACTGCAAAAAAACCATAATGAAATATTAAAAGATTTTGGTTTTGTTTTTTTTTTAAGAGTGGGGTAAGTACAGAAACAAGGACACAGAGAGGTTGTGCAGTCTCCATCCTACTATATATTCAAAATTCACCTGGTCAGGAAGCCCTGAGCAACCTGAATTAAGTTTTAAATTAGTCCTGCTTTGAGCAGGAGGTTGGCTTAGGTGACCTCCAGAGCCTATTTCCAGCCCAGGTTATTCTGTGATTCTATGAAACAAAAATTTAAAAACAAGTTCTTGGACAAAGCTGAAAATACTTAAGTAGAGAGGAAAAAGGAAAGGAAAATAGCTATTAAAAGAACAGAGATGTAGGGGGAAAATCAGGAGAAAATAGTCTTCAGCTACAAAGAAACAGAAGAAGAAAGGAGACACAACTGAGAATATTTAGTAAGATTTTTTCAAGGCTAGAAGTTATACAATGGTAAAGCTCCAGCTAAGGCAGTAGAACTATGCTGGTCTGCATCTGCAAATGCAGACGTCAGAGATGTAATGTAGTCTGACTTAATTAAATTTGCATTGACATTAAAGCTTGGTATTGAATAGTTTTCTTTAAAATGCCTCCTACATTAGTGAAATAAATCCATCTATTTACAGTATTCATTCTTTTCACTTATCTCTTTCAGTTGATATGTTTGGAATGAAGTATATTGCACCAGTTATTTTGCAAGTCAATAAAATAGAAGGAAATAACTTGTCTTCCATGGGGTTTCTCTGGGATTTCATGGACAAAATGAATTGCAATTAGGTCATGATTACTCAAATATTTGTATTGTGAATTTAAAATGCTGCAGTAGATAAGGTTTACCAGTTAAAACAGTAGGATTTCTACAAATGCATACTGAAAAATTAATACATTTCTTCCTTAGAACCACATATCAGCTATTAAATCCTTTCACCTGGTTTTGGTTCAATTTTTTATAATTTAAGTGGTCTTTTGTAAGAGGTTTTGCCTGAAAATCACCAAGTGGAAAATAGAGATATAAACATTAGTCATTCAGAAAAGGCAAAGACAACATTTGACAAGTAAGTGAAATTACTAAAGAAAAATAAGACTTATATTTATTTTAAAAAGGAGAATGTGTTAAATATATATTTTACTTCTTTATCATTATATCTTGACATTTTTCTGTCTTGTGTTATATAATTTAAATCAGACTTTCAGGCTCTTATTTACTGTTCTTGACAGGACACTAAACACATTGCACAAATCTCCCCAGTTTGTAATCACTTTTCTTATTCATCCACTTATCTCACACTTCCCTGACATATTAATACCTTATATAAATATAAATATATGTATATATATGTATATATATATATATATATACACATACACACCATGGAGCCACCTGGCCTCCAGCACAGGGACAAGAGTGGCCCATGTCCATTGCTCCCAAGGCTCCTGTTGTTGGGAGCAGGCCGCCCTTGTCTGAACGCTGAGCCTGGCTCACTGCCTGTCCCAAAGCCCTTCCCATCTGTGCCCCACTGTGCCTCCTCCACAATTCCATCTGCAGTGAGCCACGGGATCTGGGCTTGGTGGAGGGAGCTGTCTGGCTGGGTCAGTCAGTATTCTCTGTGTGTTGGCAGCTGGGCTGTGCCTGCATGACCAGACATGTGATTTTGATAGATACTGTCGGAGAAAAAAATGTTAGTTTTTTTCTCCACAATATGTAAACATTTCTGCTACTCTCTCCATTCACACTATAGTAGTTTTTCATCAGTGATGACTTATTCTAAGGTTAATATCTGTAAATTTACTTTTTCCTTAATCAAAAGTGACAGAAGTTTCATAACTTTTATATTATTTAATGTGAAGTTGTCGAGTTTTACACAGTGAAATATAAGCTTACATAGAGCATGAAAAGTACTCAGTATCATACCATGTGTTTTAAACTTGCTTCACTTAGTTTTATTGAGATCCTGAATAATTTTTATATCACTCACTTTGTAGCATTATCTATTAAATACTAACTTACTGGTAAAATGTATTATTCATAAGCAGATACATACCAGGCAGTCATAACTGTTAATTTAAGAAGCTTATGATAGATTAGTATTATTTCTTTGTGTTAACAAGTGAAGACAAGCACTTTGATATCATCACAAATTCCCTAAGAGGGAAAGAAAGCCAAGAGACATATGCCAGCTACAAAGTATTACACCCAGCATTGTGCAAGCAAGTACCAAGGGTGTACTGAGGCTCAGTGATCCAGGACAGAAGCAGACTGGTTTGTGCCTTCTGCTAACCCTGGGTCAGGAATCCTGCTCCAAATTTCACCCTATATTTGTGCTCCATCAATACAGAGCACCTGTTGTATTGAA